AAAAAAAAAAAAAGAAGGGGGTTAAAAGACATACGCTCATAACTCATAATTAGCAAAAGTTGACAACCAAATCAGATGAAGAATTGTGAAGACAAAATCATGCATATACCGCTTCGAGAGATTGAACTTGCTTGTGCAAATCACTTTCTTTTTTCTTCCATTTCAATTCCTTACTAGACCATTCAGCACCCTGAACAATGTCGAAGAGCCGCAAGCATAACATAGTCAATCATTAGGTTTAAAACACAGAAACTTCAGAAAATAATAATATTAATAATAATAGGTCTAGTTAACTTTGTCACAAACAATGAAGATACAAGACCAAGATGCTATACTGGCCGTAAAATAGTTACATCTTAGGATCACTTCCTAAACAGCCACATTGTCAATTGAGAATCAAAGTCAAAAGCTAAGAAACTGTATCCCTAATGAATGAAAAGAAGTCAGTGACGAATACAAATAAATTCGACAAACTTTCATCCCCAGAATATATGAAGACTCTGCCATGAAAATATGATCACTAAGGAAGTGAATGTAATAATGAACTCTTATATGATAAAAAAAATCCATTTACAAAGTTATCTGATCCGAACACTCAGTTTTGCTGGACAGCCAGAAAGTAATGCCAGATATCAAAGGGAGACATCGACACAGGCAAACGTAATTGGCTACCAATACAAACAGGACTCTACAGACTATGATATGGTTAGTAAACATATCCACAGAACAATGAGCGCAAAATTTCTTTAACAAATAGAAAGAAATATGCATGTCAGACTACAAAATTTATATTCATTTAAATTTTTACCTTGTCAAGCCATTCAAAAAACTAAATTACATATCTTACTACCCACTTTTATGAGAAAAATGAGGTAAATCCAAAAAAAAAAAATTGACAGTAAAGCATATTTCTGCTTGACTAAATTGTTAAAAATAGAAATCAAGGGTATCAGAAAGAAATGGTCACGACTAAACCAGCAGCAAAAATAGACCGGATCTCTAGTTCAAACATTCATTGTTCACATAATGAAACATGCATGTTAATTTT